GCACCAGTGCTCATATAGGTCTCTCCTCTGTACCACCACTAATACTTTTCCCCCAAATTCTTATATTAAAATAATTTCCCTGTCACATCTATCCCTCTCTTAAATTTGGATTAGATTAGCCAACATTTCATTTCCAAAAAATAAGGGGAAGATGAAGGATAGAGCAAAGTGTTTGCTTTTTTCTCCTGCAGCAAACAGGATCAAAAAACCCAAAAACCCTCTAACACAGTTCACACTTTGCCAGTCTGTTACTGCTCAAACAGTCCTCCAAAAACCATCACATTATTTTTCTTCTTCCAGACAATTATTTTCAAGTATTTAATGTTCTTTTGAACTTAAGCCTCATACCTTAGCACAGAAATCCAACATCTTGGCAAGAAGGAAAAAACATCCTCTCAACTAAATGATGCAGGGATTTGATTAAGAGGTCTCAGTCTCTGTAAGAAGTTTGTCTGGAGCCACTGTGTGCCTTCTCTGTGATTTCTGGTATCCAGTTATTTAATTAAACTGACAGATGCCCACAGAAAATATTTTATTAAGGTAGTAAGGGCTTCGGTAACTTTCCAAATAGCTACTTCACACAGAGAATTTAGAAGTCATTAAAAATTTATAAGCTGTTATCATTCTCTTCCTGGTTCACCTTGCAGATCTGCCCACTCAGAAATTTTCCTTCTTTTTCACACTATGCTTAACTGCATTAAAGTATGAAAGTCTACACACAAAAACTGACTACAGTAATTTGGACAGTTTTGACCATTTCTACAAAGCAAACAGAACTTCCACTGCAATGGATGCACACGTAAACTATCCAGTAGGGGCCTAGACAGTGCCAACAACTTCTAACTCGATTGCAGGCATCTCAGCACAGCAGAGTGACAGTTATAAAGGAATCAAACTGAAAGCTTATACAGAGGTCCAAACTGTTGGCTTTATGGCTGAATGAATTATCAAAACTAATGTTCACAGCCTGTCTGTAAAAAAACTTTAAAGACTTCCTAGACTAGAGGTAATTATTCTTCTTTCTTCATCTCATTCTTTCAATGGTACATTATTATTCTGAGCTGCGGTTTTATATGAACATTTATTTTGTAACAAGATCAAAGATGAGAAAGCAAATATTGGCCTTTATATGCAAACCAAAGAAACATAGATGTTATTATGTGAATAAAGCTTTTCTCTTTCTCCAGCTCTCTTTAATCAGTTGAGAAATTAATACACTTGAACAAAGACAGGAACACTGTTTTATGCATTGTGCTCCCTAAATCCTGTTAAATATATTATAACAGTTTGTTCTTGACTTTTACTGAAGATCCACCTGACTCACATTCCATATTAACTGCAAAAAACAATTAGTTGGGAAATGAACCCATTATGTCCTATATTACAGGAATTAATTTTTTTAAGGATGGGTGTAGCAGGGGAGCCTCCACAACATGAAACACAGGATGGAAACACAATGTGGTTTCTTTATGGTTTGACTGGAAACCCCTCTGAAGGTTATGCACATCCCTGTATCTCCATATAAAACACATTTCATCTGAATTGTAATAAATGCAACCACTTCACAGTGATGGAAATACAGACAGGCAATATTCTTATTAACTTCACTGACTGATGTTCCTACCAACTTTATCTGTGATTATAACTGTGCATATCAATCTCTTCAGATCAGGAGCTTACACTGCTTCAGAGAGAACTTAAATTGCAATGAATGATTTTTTCATTAAATCAGTGAGCAAAAAGAGCATGTTCCTTTATTGGCAATTATCTGAAACTTAGTAGATAAAAAATATCTACTCATTGGGAAATTTTCACAGTTTTCTGAACAAATTTTAGTTGTAAGGTTTCTTGTGAGATAAGCAGGACTTGGTACAAACCAGCAATTAGCACTCATAAATTAATGGTAGTCTGTGTGATTGATTTTTTTGGGTCACAATACAATGATCTTTTCATGTTAGATGACTCCAATATTTCACTAACCTTTCTTAAGTAAATGGAAGATAGTGAGATACTGATTTCTCATCATATCTACACTAATATCATCAGCAGGCCTAACTTCGCTTTAGACAAACACACAAACAGAAGAAATGTTTCTTAACAGCTAGAAAGGAATATTTAAAACATTCACCAATAGTCAAAGTCTATAGCATTTTTTACACAGAAAAGTTCACCTTGAGAGCCTTGGGCAAAATTCAGCATTGCTGAAAAATTCAGACAGCATTTTAGATTTTTGTCTTAAGTATCCCATTATTCCTGTTTCTGCAAATCTGACAAGATTACAATGAAAAACACCATGTAGATTGGAAAAACCAAGGGTATTTTTTACCTAATATAGCAATTTGTTTTACATAATTATCATATGCCTCCATTATTTATTTTCAGAGTTTGATAAAATGTCATTTACTCCACACCTGATCTGCTATTATAAAACAGAACCAGTCAAATACAAATGACATGAGTATTTCCATTAAATAATCACAGAGAAACATTTGTTTGGTCATGCCCTTTTTTCTTTTTTTTTTCCTTCCTTTTTGCATGACCTTTCAAGGCCTAATCCCAGGCTCCAATCCTGGTGCCACCCAGAAATGCATTTGTGGAAATGTCACATTTGTGTTTTAAGGTTTCAAGCACTGGGCTTCTGAATTGTACTCTACTGGTTTTATACATTTTCTTTTTTTCAACATGGTTGTATTCTAGGAAGAAAATGATCTATTTCCACAATTAATTTCTACCTGCTGTGACAGTGCACCCTCAGGGTAAATATGATATTTTATATTAACACACTGAAAACTTCCACTGTGATTGACCTTAAAGACACTCACAAATTAATTACTTTGCTCATCAATATGGCATGGCAGCTAAAAGATTTGAGCACATACCCAGCCAGTTAACATGCATGCTGCCATCTGCTGAATTTGACAAGGGATTTGTACTACTCTCTCTGAAAGAAAAGCTGTGCTGCTTTCCAAGAAGTATGCTATCAAACTCCTCATGCCCAAGTCAAATAATGACTATTCATGTTCTGTAAAAGAACTGGTAGTTTCTCATGGGTTTTCTCACCTCTGAGTTTAAAACTAAAAAGGAGACTATCTCAGCAAATTCATTCAAACTTTGGGATTGAGTCCACTGCTTAACAGCTGAAGCTAGGTTATATTCAAAATATCATTAGATTTAAATGAACCCTCAAGCAGTGCAGATGCGAGAAAGAATTTCACAATTTATGTACCTCATTGTCCACCCTCAGTACTACTCCGATTTAAAATGCTGTCCTCTGTCTTGGGACAAAAAAATTTGTATTAATGTGTAAGCTGAAGTTCCTGTAAAACAATGGTCAGGGGCCAGCACAGAGAAGCAACTTTTTAAAATAGTTAATTATGAGAGAGTTTGACACCATTCATACAAAGACTACAGCTAGCTTCTGAAAAAAAGCAGAGCTGTTCCAAAAATATGCACACTTTCAACTTGCACAGTACCATTCCTGTAATTAAAATTATTATCAAACTGATCTACATAGCAATATATAAATATATATATACATATAAAACTGCATAATATACATCATACTGGTCAAAAAATCCATAGTGATGTGAAACTCAGCACCTACACTCTCAGATATGCTGAGGAATAAGATAGGTGGCTGGCCCCAAGTCCTGCTCACAGCAGAAGGGACAAGGCAGTTGTGCAGATCACCACCATTCACACTGCTCCAGGATAATCCAGGCTGGAGGAAACCTCAGGAGGTCTCCAGCCCAAACTGCTACCAGGGTCAGCTGTGAAGTCAGACTTCAAAGTTACTCAAAGTTTTATTCAATCTGGTCTAGGAAACCTCCACAGATGCAGATGGTATGGCCTGCTGGGCAACCAGTTCCACTGCCTAGCTGAATAGTGAAAAAGAGTTTTCTTATGCCTTAAAATGTCAGGTATTCATAGTTTTTATGTTTTCTGAATATTAAATATTGTAGGTATTATTCACTTTTTAGACACACTGGTTATAAATTATGGGTTGTTTTATAAAAGATAAAATCACTGGAATGGAAACCATAGAGTGAGGGAGAAACATGACATTTTGCTCCAAAGCACAGCTTTATTACAATTATTTTTTATGGATCATTTAATACAGTTATTCCCTCTAAAATTTAAAAATGGGTTGATATCTTACAGAAAATTGAATCAAATCTTTATAAACTTTCTTCTCTAAAGAAGAGATCCTATGTTTACTTTGACCAAGTATCATAGTCAGAGCTATGAGTGGAACTGGAACGAATGGAATCATTGTATCTGTCCTTCTGTGGCTGCTGAGCAACAGGATAGGAGGAAAATCAAAACTACGTAAGAGCCAACTCTCAAGCATTTGGGGTAACACTGGGAAAATGGAATAGCATAAAAAAGGGATAATATGTCCCACATGCAAGTGATAGACTCCTAAATCTGATACTGTAATGAGAAAATTGAAAACAAATGACACACAATGTTGTGGAATGCAGGAATGCAAACCAGCTCAGAAGTAGCTGAGCTGTTCAGCACAACTCTTCATTAGCCCACTGCACTGCTTGGAGACCTGGATGGAGCCACCTCTCTAAAGTATTTCTCTTCCCAACATTTACCTCCTGAAAAGCTGCCTACCTACTCAAACTGATCTCAGAGAGCACACTGACAGGCTCCTTCCACTGCACCCACATCAGTATTCAAAATCTAATCCTAAAGAAGCACCCAGGGGATTCCAGTCAGCATCATCTTGAGAAATTACTTTTTTTTCCAAGTTAATTATATTCTAACATCTACCTGGAATTAAAATATCAAATATGTGTCAACTTACAAAAAGTACCCTAACAGTGCCTGAGTTTATGCCATCAGTTATAACAAGCCCTTGGCTATATGGAACAGAATCATGAATATTGTAATAGTACCAAAAATAGCACCACACTGGTAGGTTCTTTTAGAAAATGAAACTTATTAAAAAAATCAAAGCAATGAACTACTGTATTACAGAAAACACCCACCTCTTAAGCACATTTGTCTTTGTGAGAAGTTCTTACAGTTTTCTTTCTCCATTCCAGCAGAAATTTCTGCATCCCAGAAAGATTCTACATACACTGATTCTTCATTTGGGGAAAAATATCAGGTATGATGCTTAATTCAAAACCTTAAAATAAAACAGAACAAAAAGTCCATCAGAATGTTTGCACCATCATTTGTAATGACGACCTAATCTTTCCCTTAATACATAATGCATCCTTAAGTGATTATGACAAAGACAGGTGCTGCAACTGAACTTTTAGTAGCAATTCCTTATGATTATTTTATTACTTTGAGATCCAATCTGGCAAGACAAGGAGTCCCAGGAACTGTGCAATGATCAATGGTTGAGCATACCCTGGCCTTTCAATTCCCACAAACTTCATGCTGCTACCCCAGAGTATTGCAAGCAGCCTCTTTACTACAACTCTTTGGTCAATAAATATTCACATAAATGCTATGAGACACAAACTAGTTTTGCCTGCATATTTAGAGAGCAGCTAACATCAACAAGGGCCAGTATTCAACCCTTCTTTCCAATTCCTAAATTTTTCATTCTCACAATCAGGAGAATGCCTAAAATTCAAAATCCAGACCACCTTCTTAACCTAGTAGAAAATTCAACATCCATGAAGTATTAGGTATAAGACCAATTTAACTAAGTTTCCTGTTTGGAAAAAAAATATTTGTTAGCACTGCAATTCAAAAGTTTTCAGATATTACCTGCTACAAACAAAGATTGCCTTTCCACAGATACACATGTGAGGTATCCTTTTTCATAACTCCTATTGGGGTATTTTCTGGGGCCCCCCATGGCAGGAAGGAATGAATGTGACTCCATGTTCTTAGAAGGCTAATTTATTATTTTATGTACTTATATTATATTAAAGAATGCTATACTAAACTATACTAAAGAATAGAGAAAGGATATTTACAGAAGGCTTAACAAGATACTAATTAAAAACCTGTGACTCTCCAGAGTCCCGACACAGCCGGATGGTGACTGGTCATTAAGTAAAAACAATTCACATGAAACCAATCAAACAACCACCTGTTGGATAAACAATCTCCAACCACATTCCAAAGCAGCAAAACACAGGAGAAGCAATCAGATAATTATTGTTTTCATTTTTCTCTGAGGCTTCTCAGCTTCCCAGGACAAGAAATCCTGGCAAAGGGATTTTTCCAGAAAACATGACCGTGACACCCATCACTGCTTTCCAGCTGCCAAATTCAGACTGCAGAACTTCAAACTTACTTATATGTAATTTGGTACCTACAGCCAATTTATCAACTTTGTTTTCCATGCACCCGAGTGAACAAGGCTGTGCCTTACCCAGCTGCCAGCAATAGATCTCACAATATGCTGTGGAGGAAAGCTGCTGTAACTGCAGGCACACACTGAGAACATCCCTCCCCATCCAGAGAAGCTGCACTCACAGCGTGCCTCCACTCTGCTAACACTCTGGCCCTTGATGCCTGCAGGAAAGCTTTTGGTGTCTCTTTTCTTTTCTCTCACAATCATGTATTTCACACTGACTGCAGCAGTCAGCCTCCAAACAAAGACCTCAAGAAGAAATGTCATTCACACAGAATTTCATAGATTTTTAAAGATTATTAAAAGCTTTGCTAGAGAGAGATCTTCACAATCAGGTATTCTCTTGCTGCTTCAGGGCGTATGGCAGAAATAAAAACTTCTCATGAGAACTTGAATTTTGTTTGATTTTCAGATAAACTTTAACAAACCGAATTATTTCAGGTACTAATTCCTAATGATTCTCACCAGTCTTCAGTCAGTCTTTTTTGTCAAAGAGAAATTACTTGTCAGATTGCTAGATGGTAGAAGAACATGTCTATTACATATTTTCATGTTCTTCTAAATATATTATAAAAATCAAGAAGAAAAGAATTGGGTCTTTTTATGTTATCCTTTTGAAACATATTTTGGTACTTTTTCATATATCAAACAAATTATTAGTTTGTAACACATGAAAGTATCTGAGAAGTTCAGAGTTCTGAAGGTTTGTGTTTTTAGAGGAAATACTGGGGTTTTTTTAACTTAACTCTTCAATATTTTACTGATTTCAAAGACAGATATTCCAAGCAGCATCAGGAAGTGGAAAAACATACTGTATCACTGAAGCTCCTTAAAAACTTGCATTCTATGACTAATTTAATAGTTTGTATGCTTTACCAACTTTATCTATGATAAACTGAGAAAAAAAAGAAGGGGAGAAAAGCATGGGGAAAAATAAAGCTAGGGAAAATTAGGGAACTAGTCACTGATGTGCTCTAGAAAAGATTAAATACCTTCAATCTTGCCTTTGTGGCTTTGAATCTATGGCCTTTTTTCGTATGAAATTGTTTCTGCTGAAAGCACCATTGACTTTGTCCTTTGGACAACCTGAGGTTTTCAGTGCATTGGTACCATTACTTTATATTGAATTCATATGAATATACATGGATGTCCTCTTTTATACTTTTTTAGGGCCACTTAATAGAAAATAGGGGTTTTACATGCTTTCTATAGGAGGGTTAAAAAAAAATCTAATCTCCTTTCTGTATCTTTTATATTTTCCTTTTAGAAGATAATTCAAAGGCAGCTGCATCAGAGGGGAATCTTTTTCCATTGTTGACCCTGGAACGGCAATGAAAGCTCATTCATAATTTCCTTTCCAAGCCATAAGGAAACATAATTTGCAGACCTACCTTCCAAGGAAATGAAAGACTGTATCTCTGTAAAAGATACTGCTGATGAAAAGGGGGCATCTAAGACATCTTAGCATAAAATATACATTTTAATTCACTCAAAAAACAAAATCTAGTTATTTTAATCCTAGAAGCAATTCAAAAATGTAATAAAACACTGGAAATTACAGGAAAAGTAAGCATTTTTGATTTGGAAACATTATGTCAAGGATGTGCAATCTTTTCAGGCAGCCTGTAAGCACAAAGCTCCATTTGTCTTTTAGCAGTGGTCTTAGCTGCTCAAGGCAAACGACACCAATCTTGTGGACTTGGAGACAGTTAGAAAATCATGTTCTGTTCACACTTATCCTAAACCCTCCCAAACTTGGGGTTTTGTTTTGTCTGGAGTTTGGTATTTTAACACTCAAGGTTTTGCTTCTTTAAGGATATTTTTAACCCAATTTTCCCTTAGTTAAGATTATACAGCACCTAAAAAAAAAAAAAAAAAGGCACAACAGTGTTGGCCTTTCTGTACAGGATGCTTAAAAAGCCCACACTGAAACCCCAGAGAATCTAGTTAAGATCAAAAAATTTCCAAGCTAAAATAGATGTTTACCACACATTTATAATAATCTTAACAGTGTCATAAATAAGATTACCCAGACCATAGGTCTTGAGTTTGAGTCTTCTAAAGGAAAATAATTGAACCATTAGGATGCTTCGCCCATGTTAACAGGATAGTGCAGTTATTTACACTTGGGCCATGCTCAGCTGTGCTGAAGGCACACGCCTGAGGAAGCCAAATCGCTGTACTGTAAAATTGACCTGTGAAACCGTCCTGGGAAACTGACCTGTGAACCTGACCTGTGAAACCGACCTGTGGAAGTGTCCTGTGAAACTGACCTGCACAGGGACAGCAGCCAAGGCAGAGCCCTGGCTGGCAAAACAGCGCTGTCTTGACTACAAAGATGCTGGCTGATGTAGGGAAAAGGAAACTCCTGCTTGCCCTCGGGCAGGCTTTCAAGGGTTCCCCTCAGCAAATGACCCCCACCTGCCTGCACCTGCACAGGCTTCAGCACACAGGCCAAACCAAGGAGACACGATAGTCCCATACATAGGCCAGTTGGAAAGCATGGCTGGCTTTACCCTCACCAGAGCTCAGTCAAGCCCTGATTTAACTTTCTAGACGGAGATGAGAATGGGATTCCCCCGAGGAAAAGCCTCTTCCCGCAGCTCCCCTCATCAACCCACCCTTGCCATGGTGCCAGGCGCTCCTTTCGGGACAGCG